GGGCTTCAGGTGCAGCAGTTGCTGTAGGGAGAGATCCTGGGCTGTGAGCAGGGTGCCCAGGTACCAGTCATGTATCACTTAGGGATACAATTAGATGTCCTAGGGGAGCAAGGGTTTTTGCTGGCTCCTTTGCTGGGTACCTGCACCCTGGAAAGTGTGCTGACAAGTTATGACCAGCTTAGAAAAAGGGACCTGGAGATCTAGAAAGACCTGACGCTACTGGAAGAGGGTAAGATGTCACCTGCTTGAGCTGTGCAAGAGAGGATAACAATGCTGACATGAGATTTGGGGAATGAGTACAGCTTTTATGCAGTGGAAAAAGGCCTCTTGGGAGTCAGTGACTAGAAAAGCACAATGGCCAAAAACAATTACTGGAGGAGGGTGTCCCTCACCAGATAAGGATGTGTGGGTGGGCTCCGCTGCTTAAATGACAACAGCACTGCTTTGGAAGGACCACCCCACTGGCCTGCATTCACCTCTGGCTACGTTACTCCAAAATAACCCAGATCCAGGTCCGAGTGGCCCTTCCTTGCCTTGGGGACTGAAATGAGCATCCTCCTAACCCAGGATGCATCTCTGGACATGTCACCCCCAGGCGACCAAAGAGGTACACCTTTAAATTGGCAGGTCCCAACAGAAACAGAAGCTACTTCCCAGCTGAAGCTAGCTGGGAAGATTTGCAGTACCCTGTGAAGGGGGTGCTCATGTTTGCTTCAGTGACAGAGAGGGATGCACCCTGGGGTCTTTGCTGTAAGATGGTATGGAGAGAACAAGTGACCGTGCCTCAGTTTCCCCTCTCAGATGTAGTATCCCTCTGTGGCTTGGTGTTTTTGTGTGCTCAGGAGCGGAGGATGTTAATTAAAACAGCAAAGCAAAGGAAGGAATGAGGGGCTGGGGCACAGACAGCTCTGTAAAAGGCTGTGCTGGTCTGTCCTGCAATTACTGTGAGTGATGTGCCCTTGAAAAGAGCTGCGAGTGGATGCAGCTGGCTATTAGGGCTGCAGCTCTCAAGCTTCAAAGCCTCTGTTTTGTGTTTTTTTTCTTTTGGCTTCTGAATTCTGCTGGCAAGGCTGCAGAGCCAGCCTCGCTCAGCCACTGTGTTCCAGCCTTAACCCACATGTGGAGGGACCCACATGGCAGGGACCTCTGCACTGGCTGGCTTGCTGGAAAGGAATGGCTGCACAGCAGGGAGTGGAAGATTGGAGACATCCTTCAGGCTGGAGCTGTGCAAGAAACCTTGTGTGTGCCCCTGGCTTGCCCACCTACTGCTGAAGTTTCCAGCCCAGAGAACCCGGCTGCCACCCTGGGCAGGGTTAATGTAATAAGGTACCTGGTAAGTGGAGTAGGCTAAAGGATCGTGCTCTCATGTGCAGTTCCCCCTCTTTAAACAGTGGAGGAGCAGTAGCAGAAGAGGGGTTGCCACCTCCTGGTTACTTGGTTTATTAGAAAACTGAAAACCAGATAGCACTGAGGCACTATCAGGCCTGCAGAGCCTTGGGGGAAGGGGCTGTAGCAAGAAACAGATGCTGAGGGGAAAATGTAATGTGCAGTCTCTGAGAGCTATCAACTCTTCCCAAAGAGTTACAACAGCAGGTAGTGTGGGAACAGTGATCGAGGCCCAAGTTACGTGGGATACTCCAGCAGGGTGATGTTAATGGTGAAGAAAAAGGGGAGGCAAAGGGAGAAGGACCCCCAGTTCAGTGGTTCTGGTGTCCCAGCAAAGCGGAGGCTGGGAAAGCTGGACCTTGGGCAAGCAGGACAGAGACATCTCTGGCCACCTGACAGCCAGGATTTGGCAGCTTGGGGGGATGGATGGACCCATGGTTCAGCTCTGAGAGAACCAAGCTCCATTCGGTCCTTGCTCTTTGCAGACCAGGGTGGCCAGAAAGCAAGGGGAAGCAGATGAGAGATGGAAGAGAAAGGATGGCAATTGAGAGATTTCCAGGACTGCTTAATCCCCTGATGCAATCCCTCAAGTGAGCTTTTGCTCAGGCTCATGGTGCCTCAGCAGTACAGCAGTACAGTACAACCTCTAGCACTACAGCACTGCTTCTGCGCTAGCATGGATGCCCCTGCTTTGGGCATCCCCTGGGGAAAAAGCAACCTGTGCGCAATCTGGAGGCAGGGGCAGAAACCCCTGCCCATCAGCTACTGTTTCTGGCTCTGCAGCCCAGGGGCTGTGGCCTGCAATGTGATGGAACTGTTGCCCACCCCAGCATCTGCTGAGCCAGCCCTTCTAAGCCCCTGACAGCATTACCCAGCTGCTGTCCCTGTGTCCTGTCCCTGTGTTTTAACTTGTGTCTGTCCCCAGAACAGATCAGGTCACTCCCACGGCAGCACACAGCACCTCTTCTCCTTCCCAGTTTCAGATTCTATTTCCAGCTTGTTGGTTTCAAGTAGGGTGAGCAGAAGTCAGGACAAGTACTCTCAAGGCTTTCAGGATCAATGTGTCTCATCAAAATGGGTAGGAAAAATAGCTCCAGGGCTGTGTGCATCACCCCTTTGGGCTGCCCCAAGGCACACTGTCCCCATCTGCCAGTCCCTTTCCCTTGTTGCTGTCCTTTGGTTCTGTTTCATGAGCCAGTGGGGAAACAGGGTGCTGCATTCCCCCCAGCATGCAACTGGAGCCCTGCAGCCGAAGGGTGCTCTGGAGCAGTATGCACTGTTGACATGGGTGACTCCCAAGCAGGGGCTGTGGTGTGTGCCCTGCTCGGGCTCTGCCTAGTGGCCCTGGGAACATTTGCACCCAGACATGTGTTGCCAACCATCTCTGCTTGCAAGCAGGCTCTATTTGCTTCTTTCTGCAACAGCGGTGAGGCAGAGATACTCCAGCAGGAACCCTTCCTGGGAAGGGGGGCACCAGTGGGAACTTGGTGCCTCAGTTTCCCCCTCGGGCTATGGAAGGGAAGAGGAGTGACAGCAGTGCTGCTCCTATCTGCTGTGTGCCCTGGCATCACGAGGGGGATCTGGGTGTGCAGGACCTCAGGGGCAGCTGAAGGCAACCAAATCCAGGCAGCTCTTTGCAGTGCAGCGCTGGACTTAGCGGTGCAGTGAGTTGTGCTGGGGCTCAGCCTGGGTGGAAGTGGGGAGCACAGGGCTCTTTCTCTAAGATCCCTGTCCCACCTGCTCAAATGCAGCCCCAACGGAGGCTCTTCCAGCTCCATCCTGCCCGGCTCAACCAAAAACCTCCGAGGACGGAGCTGGGACAGCCCGCATGGAGGATGGTCTTCGGGACGCCAGAGCCCTTCAAGATGTCATCCCTGAGGGAGCACAGGGTCCCCCTGCGCCCTGCCACCCTCGGAGGGGATGAAGGGACCGCTGCAGGTACCTGTGCCCGCGGCGCTGCCCGTGCCGCCGCTCTGAGCGGTCAGCAGCAGCCTCCCCGGTGTCACCCCCTTACCCTGGCCCCCACCCGCCGCTCTTCCCCACCTCTGAGGGGCCGGGGCGGGCCACAGCTCCCGGTCGCGGCGGAGCCGGGGAGCCCCCGCACCGCAGCCGCCAGCCCGTCCGCTCGGCAGGCGGGGCGGAGCGGGGGGGGCAGCAGGGTGCGGACTCGGGGGAGCGCTGTCGGCTCCAGGCTGGGCTTCGGACCGGTAAAACACGTGTTAGAGGAGAGAGGAGCTGCGGGTGGAGCGGGGACACGCAGCCCTGCCGCTCTTCGTGAGTTTGTGCATGCGTGTGTATGTGTGTGCACGGCTTTGTGTGCGTGTGTGTGTGCATGCATGCCTGGGTCTGCATGCTGCTACAGAGCAGTATTGTCCTGTGATCAAGGCGTATCAGCAGGATGCGGTGCCAGCACAGAGGATGGGCAGGAGTGCAGACAGACTGACAAACAGCGGGCACAGTGAGGGAGCAGACCCCAGTGCAGAGCCAGGGGTAGCAATGTGAGTGGAGCAACTTACTTGCATGAAAATGTGACAGAAGCTGGCTGGAGCCACCTGTTCCACAGAGGAATGATCCGGGTGACCCAGGGTTGCACATCTGCATCTTCCCTGGGTGAATCTGGACAACTGGGCACCGTGTGGGCCACGATTCCTGGCAGTGGGGCTGATCCATGCGTTACTTACCACGGAGGCCACACAAATGGCAAATACCTGTGTTGCAAAGGCTGCTGGTGGGGCTTGAGATGACTGCACCACCGTCCCCTGGAACTCCCTTAGAGTCAATGGAGTTTATTATATTAATGTTATTTCCTCCCTCTTTCTGAAGAGCATCTTGCCAGTGCTGCTTTGCAAGCGACGAGTCAGCCCCCTGCAGGGATAGGGTCTCAGCACCAGGCTTTGCTTGCCCAGTGGTGGGAGAGGAAGTCCCCAGCATCCCTGTAGCTTCCCTGCCAGCCTGTCGGCTGACTGCGCACAAGAGGCAGAAGGTGGGTAAGGGCAGGCGGCTGAGCTCTGAGGGGAGAGCAGCGGCAGGATTTCATTAGCCTGCCTCTTAAGGCAGTGAAGTCTCCATCCCCTCCCACGCTCCCTCCTCAGCCCAACCTCATCCGGCGCACGGGTGGTGGGACCTGAGCCTTCATCTGGAGCTTTCCAACAAGCTGTAAGTCCTTTTTGGGTTGTAAAATCAGTTTTTCCTTCCTGCAGTTTTATGATTACACTGTTAGCCCCTTTGCGCAGCTGGTAGAGCTGGAGCTGGGATTGACTTTTGGGGTTGGCTTTGGGGCTCTGTTGTGCTTTGCTTCAGGAGCAGGGAGAGAGGACAGCCCTGCTGACGTCCCTCTGGCAACAGGGGAAAGGGGCCAAGGTGGGCTGGGGAGCTGCCAGTGTTACTTGTGCATGAGAAATGGGATAAGGAGGGCTTGGGAACCCTGGAGGCAGGTTGCAGGGAGATTTTGGGTTGTTTTCCAAAGGAAAGGCTGAGGTTGGGCCAGGATGGGAGTGAGGGTGCAGAGCTGTGGTGATCAGCAGCATCCTGATACCAATGGGGAGAGTGGCAGAGGGAGCTGGGGCAGCAGAGGGGTTGGGAAAGTGTCCCACAGACCTCCCTATCTCTCTTCAGCAATGAATCCCTACGTCAACTGCTCTGGCCCCGAGTTTTCCCTGTCCCAGCAAGACCTTCCCATGGAGCCTCTCAGCCCTGATCTCTGCAACAGGACTCACCCAGAGATCTTGTTTGACCCCAAGGATGCCAACCTGACAGAGGAGCAGCTGCGGGACAAGTACCTGGGACCTCGACGGTCCAGCTTCTTTGTCCCAGTGTGTGTCATCTACCTGTTGATCTTCGTGGTGGGGGCTCTGGGCAACATACTCACCTGCATTGTCATCCTCCGGCACCGGTTCATGAGGACGCCTACCAACTACTACCTCTTCAGCCTGGCCATGTCTGACCTGCTGGTGCTGCTTCTGGGGATGCCACTGGAACTGTACGACATGTGGAGCAACTACCCCTTCCTGTTGGGCGCCAGCGGCTGCTATTTCAAGACACTGCTCTTCGAGGCTGTCTGCTTCGCCTCCATCCTCAATGTCACGGCCCTGAGTGTGGAGCGCTACATCGCTGTGGTGCATCCGCTCAAGGCCAAGTATGTGGTGACCAGGAACCATGCCAAGAGGGTCATCATCACCATCTGGGTCTTGTCTGTCATCTGCTCCATCCCCAACACCAGCCTCCATGGGCTGCAGCCTCTCTATGTGCCAGGACGGGGGCGAGTGCCTGATTCGGAGATCTGCACCCTGGTGAAGCCACGCTTGACCTACAACCTCATCATCCAGATTACCACCATCGTCTTCTTCTTTCTGCCCATGGGGACCATCAGCATCCTCTACCTGCTCATTGGCCTGCAGCTCAAGAAAGAAAAGATGCTGGAGGCCTTGGGAGCCAAGTCTGGTGGCAGCCATGACTGCCACAACACCCAGGGACAGAAGAAAGTCAAGAGGAGGCAGGTCACGAAGATGCTGTGTGAGTCTGACACCAGGGAATCCAATTCTGGGGATGGGAAGAGCCAGGGGGTATCTCCAAAAGCTGTGTTGGGAGGATGCTGAGGGGAAACTGAGGCATGGCCGGTCCAGGGCACTGAGGCTGGGTCATCCCAGAGGAAGGCTGCAGGACTCACTTGTGGGGTGTTGGGGCAAAGGCAGATCTGTTTGGCTCCAGTCCAGTGGTGAGGATTGCTCATGCCAGCTACCTCCCTTCCTTAAGGACAATGCTGAGTGAGAAAGGAGGTGGGTTGGGATGGGGGAACCTGCTCCCTGTCCCCCAGCCCAGACCTTGCATGCTGGTGGTGGTGGTGGTGGTATTTCCCAGAGAGACATGATTCCTACCCAGCCCTGCAGCAATATCCCAGGGCCATGATGCACTGACCCACCGCTGGACTGGAGCATCCCTCCATCCCACTGCTCTGCACTCTTGCTCCTCTCCCCAGCACCATCCCTGCAGCCTCTGGCCCTCTTCCCAGCAGTGGGAGCTGCTGCTCATGGGTAGCTGACCTCTGCATGCTCCCACCCCCATGATAGCACAGTGATGGCAGGTTGCCTGACCCAGTCCATCAGCAGGGTCAGGGCTGCTTCTCTGCTCTACTTCAGACAAGTGGTGACTCCACTTCCCCCAGTACCACGTCTGGGAAGGGGACAAAGGAGGACTTGGCCCTGCTGTGGCATGGAGGTGCTGTGTGGCATGGGTATGGCAGGACAGGGGAACCAGACACCACCCTACATCACCCCCTTTCCTCTCCATTGGGAAAGCTGGGTTATTAAAACAAACCAAAAGCAGAGCACAAGGGAAGAGCACAAATAGCTCTTGCTCCTTGGACTTTGCCAGTGAAGGTGGCAGGGTTCCTGGAGACTGAATGCCCACAGGGGCATCCCTGAGCTGTCCTGCATGTCCCCAGGACTATAGCAGGGCCAGCCACCTGCGACAGGGAGCGGAGACCCATGGGACAGCAGTGCTTGGAGCAGACCTGGCAGGAGATAGAGAGGAGATCCTGTCCAGAAGAGCTCCAGCCCCTCCACAGCAAGTCAAAAAGACACTGAGGGAGCCCTTCCCTTCTCCCCACCCCTTTCTCCTATGCTTTTTTTGGGTGTTCTTTGCTTTGGCCAAAGCTGAAAAGGGGCAGTGCTTGCCAGGGACTGGAGATCCCTGGGGGAAGAACTCCACTCTTCCAGTAACACTGGCTCATTGGCTCCCCACAGTTGTGCTCGTGGTGGTGTTTGGGATCTGCTGGGCCCCCTTCCACACTGACCGCCTTGTCTGGAGCTTCATCTCCACCTGGACCAGCCATATGCTCCATATGTTCCAGTATGTCCACATCATCTCTGGTGTCTTCTTCTACCTGAGCTCAGCTGCCAACCCCATCCTCTACAACCTGATGTCCACCCGCTTCCGGGAGATGTTCAAGGAGGTGATGTGCCACCCCAGCCACCGTGTGCTGTGGTCACAGAAATACTCTCCCAGCATCACCCACGCCACCACCCGCAGCACCGAATGTGAGCCCATGCCCAGTGCCAATGGGCTGCCCCTCTCTGATGCTGAGGAGTATGAGCTGGAGGAGGTGGAGAGAGGCCAGCCTACCACCCATGCAACGTCCCTCTGCTGAAGAGTGTAAGGATGTAGGGGAGCTATGACCAGCTTTCCTCCGCACCAGCATCCATCTGACTGTGGCACCCATCCGGTGGTGGGGAGCGGGGTAGGAGCCATGCAGGGGTCCCCACCTCTCTGTGCCACCCCCCTGGTATGTGAAGGCTGGTTTTCTCAGCAGTGCTGCTTCAGGACATGGCAATGGTGGCTACACTGTGCCCTGGATGTGTTGCACCCACTGCATTCAGCACCAGGGCTGGTTAAAGCCAGGGCATCACCGGTGGTGTGGGAATGACTGGTTTCTATAGCAGGGATATGCCAGCAATCCCCAAATCATCCCATCCCTCTCAGCCCACTGAGGTGAACCCATGGGTGCAGGTGTAGAGGGTGTCAGGCACCCCAGGCTGTTTTGGGACACCATGCTGGATAGGACCCCCAAGATGCACTTGTGCTCAGGCTGACATTCATGGAGGTGGGAGAGATTTGCACGGGAAGGAGTGGGTTAAAAGTGGTCTGTGGGTACCTTTTCCCCCCAAGCCTCCTCAGGGCTCACCGGCACTGATGCACCCCTGATTTCTTGCACTTCAGTGGTGCCAACCGGTGTCTGCAGCATGCCAGTACAGTTCCCTGCTCCCAGCCTTCCTCTGGCCTCTCATCTGCAGCACAGCTGCTTCCTCCAGAGCTGGAGCCTGCAGGGTAAAACACTGGACAAGAGGAGCCCCAGGCTGCCTGCAGTGCCCAGGCACATCTCCATGCCTGTCACCCTGCCCCATGAATACACCCTGCACTCTCCTCTCTGACCTGCATCTGGTGGGTGCCCCTCTCCTCTTCCTCAGCTCGCCATGGCCCCTGCACCCCTGGGGAATGCAGGGAGCCCTCCTCCGTCCCTGCCTGCATGGGCCTCATTGAGAATTAAAAAAAGCTGTTGGCCTGATTTGTGCCCTGGTTGTGTCCCTCAGGGCTGAACCTGAGCCATCCTTCTCGGGGGGGGGTGATGGGCAGGCCATGTTACAGGGCTTTCTCACTGGCTCTGCCTGTGGGCTCTGCTGTCACAGTGTGTCTACAAGGCTAGGTGAGCTCGGGACATGGCAGGGAAGGTGTGAGTGAGATCCATTACCCTTCCCCATCTCCAGGATGCTCAGGCTGAGCTGTGTCTGGGGCCACTGCAGGGTGGGAGCTGCTTCTGAAGCAGTGGCTACCCCTCTATCCCCAGGCAGGCGGCTCAGAAAATGTCACCAAAATGCCAGGGAGTGCAGGCTGGCTGGTCACGCTCTCCCAGGCTGGAAGGACCCATTGATTTACTGTCTGAAATCGATGTCACTGGCTTCCCAGCGTATGCAGGATCCTCCCACAGGATCAAATACTGAGTCTCTGAAATGCCAAACAGCTGGATATCTTGCCTTGCACGACTTCCCCAGCTCCAGCTCCAGCTTCATCCAGCTGGGGAAGCTGCCCCAGGGTTGACATCCCATGGCTGTGCCTCTGGGCAGCACGGATGTGCCAGCAGGACTTGCCCAGGGACCTGAGCAGAAATGCCGGGGGAACAAGCCCTGGTCAGAGTGCTGGCAGCTGCTGCTCTGCTTCCAGCCCCTCCAAAGCACATCACACAGGGCCACAGCCAGGCCAGCGACCAAGAGCAGGCAGGACCTGGGGCTTGCAAACTCCCTCCTGCCTCCATGGACCCAGTCCCTGGCTCGGGGGCAGTTTGGCCAGCTCCCCCACTCCCCATCCCCACAACAGGGTCTGCCATGGGCAAGGCCATACCTCAGCTCTTGTGGGTGCTGCTGGGTGAGGGGCGGTGTGGGGCTGCAGTAACTCTGCCCTTCAGGGTCCTGCAGGCTGCTCACAGCCTCTCTCTGGGAGATGTCAGAGTGGCCAAGGGCATTGAATCCATCTATTTCCTTCCCCCCCCAGCTCCCAGCATTGATGGTCCTGGCAGGGGAGAGTCGTGCACAGCCTCTCATCACTGCTGCACGGTTGAACATGACTGATGACTCCTTGGTGGCCATTATTGCCCCATCTCACCTCACCCAGACACTTCCGTGACTGCAAATCTCCAGGGAATGGCTTTTTAATAGGAGGTTGATAGCATTTTATTATGTAGTAACAGCCACCTGCATGGAGCTTCAGGGTCCCTTGTGCTGCAAGTTGGGAGGATGCATCCCCTGATCATGAGTATCCGGGCTGTGTGAGGATACAGCTGTAGCTGCTGCAGCTCGAGCTGTTTGGTCAGTGCCAGAGAAAACTGTGTGTCTACAGGTGTTTTTTGGGGTGGGAGGGAGGGGATCCTGGGACTCAGCACAACTGGAGTGGAGCTCAGAACAGCCAGAAAGGTGAGGCACTGGCTTTGCCTTTACCCAGCCTTATGTCCTCCACTGCAATTCCATGATCTGGGACTCCCCATCCTCCTTGGCTACCCCAAATCCTCCTCCCTGAGATGCAGGAGGGGAGTGTGCAGCAGAGGCCCCAGCGTGTTGGATGGTGATGCTGGGCCAGGGGTCTCCCTGAAAAGCACCCCGAAGTCTTGCCAAAGCCACATCCAGTGATGCAGCATGGCCGGTGGCACCTCCTGGGTGCAGGCAAACTGCTCCCCTGCCTGGGGTTCTGCAACGGTGTTTGGAGACAGCCCAAGTCCCCTGGTACCACATCCCAGCCAAATTCATGAGAGATGCTGCAGTCAAAGGCTCCCAAGCAAGTCCTTTAATCCCACAATTAATTTTAGTGACAGCTGCAGCCAGGGCATGAAACCTTGTGAGCAAGGAACTGATCTCCCGGGGGACAGTGGGTTCATTGAGAGTCTGACACCTCTGCCTCGCCAGGAAGGCAGTGGCTGCTGGCTCCTGCCTGCCTCAGGGTCATTGCAGCCCCCCGAAGGGCATTACAGTGCCTGTTTGCTCCAATGCTCCTCACTGCCCTGCACCCCTGTGGTCAGCCTGGTCCCCTGCCACCTTCCCGGCACCAATTAAGAGGGATTACTCCTGCCTGGGAGGTGGTACAGACGCAAAAAAGCCCTGCAGGGGGAGGCAGCAGAAGGCACAGATGGGGTGAGTTGTTCCTGCTTCTCCAACCCATGTAACTGGCTGGGGTGATCAACCAGCACTCCAGGGCGGCTGTGGGGGAAGAAGGATCCCAAAACACTGCCTGGGCGTTCTCACCAACTAAATGAGCCTTTCAGGACTCAAGAGAGCCCAGAGGGGACAGAGCAGAGGGACATATTGGAACTGGGAGCTGGGGAGTTGCTCAGGGCCTTCATTTGGAGCTGGACGAAGCATCTCTCTGTCCCTGCGACATGCAGCACGTGACAGCGTCTGGCTCCACGCCACCATCTCCTCTCCAAACACTTAATTTCCAAAGAGCTGTTCCCCAAAAGCTGTCCATCTGTCCTCCCAGGTTTATAGCAGTGTCTGTCTAACAGCCAGCTCCTGCCTAACTATCCGCTCCTGGCACCCAGGGGAACCCTCCTGCCCCCCATCCCCACTCAGCACCCCCATCTCTCCTCCATCACCCCCAGCCCCGCTACTGGAAGACTTCCCCTCTCCCAGCAGCTCCTGGAGCTGTTTTTCACCCTGCTGAACGCCCTGAGTGACACAGTACTTCTGGAGCTTCCAATGAAAAGATTTATCACTGAGGCTTTGAGGATTAAAAAGCAATCCATCTATGAGGCTGCTCCAGCCTTGTAAGGCGCTTTTTTTTGTGTGCTGTGGTTGTTTGCAACAGGCATGGGATGTTGTGGGATTTTTTCCTCCTTTACTGAGCCAAACTCAAGTTTTACAGCAATTGCCTTGTGTGTCTGGAGTCATGATAGACGGCTCCAGAGAGCGCCAGCGGATTTTTTGCTGCCCCTGTTCAGTAAGCCAAGGGAAGGGTTGTTTTCAGTGTCCTTTGCACAGCCATGGGATGGGGCAAACTCATAAAGCGTGAATTTGTCAAAGCCCTTGAGTGCCTGGGAGCGAGCGGTCCCTGTCTGGGGCCAGGTGGGGGGTGCATTTGGGCACAGCAGCCTTTCCCACCAATATCCCAGCCTTTGTGAGGGGAGCAGGGAAGCAGGAAAATGTAAATGTCAGGAAACTGCAGGGATGAGCTGGGTTTGAGCTCGGCACTGATTTAGGCTGCTTTTTGAACCATATTTCAGTTCTTCCTTTTACTCCAAGATAGTGGTGGCAGTGAAAAGCTAACACCTAGTGCCTACTGGAGATGGGCAGCATAGAGATAGGCAGGAGCACAAATGGACAGCAAGAAAAATACAGTTATGATTTTATTCTGCTCCTCAGGGATACCTGTGTGCTCAGGTTTTAGCCCAGTGCCAAAGGCAGCCCATATTCCTGGCTGGCTCCTCGGTGGCTTCCCAAAGAGGCAGGGCTCACATAAGAACCAGCTTTCCAGGCTGCCAGGGAGGATAGGAAGAGGTGGTGTGGGGAGCACAGCCCACCCCAAGGGTTTGGATGGAGTAACTCAGCCGTGGCTCCAGTGCTTGGGCTAACTTGCCCATGGTGCAGTGTGACTGTCACCTACACTTGGGATGGTCTTCTCCACATCACAGCAAACCCAGCATCCCTGGAGGGGCCAGGCCATGTACAGGGAAGGGATGATCTCCCCCTATCTCTCCTCTCCTCATGGTAGGGTACTCAGGGAAGGGACATCTCCAAGAAGTGAAGGTCTGTGTGTTATTTAAGGACCTCCCCGCCTGAAATCCCACCATTCTTATGGCCTAGCAGCAATATGCAGGGACAATTTCAGGGGCAAAGTGGCCCATTGAAGCCACTGGGCACTTCCACAAGCATCACCTGGGGCAGGGTTAAAACTCCACTGCAATGGGTTAGAAGAGACAGACAGTCTGGTTAGCCCATGCCTTCTGTCCTGATGTGTTGTTGCTACAGATGACAGAACTGATATCAGAGGAGCCTGCGTGATGCTTAATTTGGTTCATGGGGACACTTTGGTTAAGAATAAAAGTGATGCATAATTAGCACAGCAATAAGTGGACTAAAGCTGGATGGATGGCAGAACTCCCAGGGCAGGTAGGGACTGCTAACAACTGGCTGTGATTGCTGGTGAGACTGGGGGATAGGGCTCAGCCCAGAGGTCCCCCATGACCGCTGAGCAGGTCCCTGGGGTTTGGGAAGTGCAGGTGGAGGATCCTCAGAGTGACCTGGAGGACAACAGTGTGCAAAGGGCTTCCCCACTGCCCACAGAAGCCATGCTTACCATCCCCAGCACACGTCATACGGGTCTGCCCTGGTCCTCTGTGTGGGATGTGGAGGATGAGGAGGCACCAACTCTCCAGTCTTCTCTGGGGTGGAACAAATTCCAACATGAAGAGGAAAGCTAGGATGCCCAGACTGGAAAAAGCTAACTTTTATCTAGTTTTATATATATTTAGGACCAGTGAAACAGGAGCACAAGTTTCCAAGGGCAGTGGTGGAATCCTTTGAGGGAAAATGCCTCCCCACAGATCGGGTGCTTTTCCATAAGGTCAGCTGCTCTTCAAATGTGCTTTTGAGAGCATTTGCTTCTGCTAAGTACCTGGTCTGTGATACAGAGTCAGGAAGGGAACAACAGCCCTTGCTCCTTCACTCCACTGTGCCCAGATGGCATCTTCCCCTCCCTGGCACACAAAGCATCCAGCAGCACCTGCACTGACCCCTTCCAAAATGAGT